CAAACTTCAACAAACTTCAAGTATTGAAGAATTTGTATGTCGGCCTGTGTCATAGAACTCTAACTGCTATATTGTAGACGTATGCGAGAGAGAGAATGTGGACGTGGCATAATCGATGTAATTGATGTTATTGTTTAAATTTGTGAAAGATGTTTTATAACGGAAACAATTGTCGTTGACATCGGTTAGGGGGTTCTTAAATGTTCAACAATCATCCAACACTACAAGAAAGCTACAGTCTTTTCTACACACCACTAAAAATATTGGATTATTGTATCAATAATCCAATATTTTTAGTGGTGTGTGAAAAAGACTGCAGCTTCCTTGCAGTGTTGGAAGATTGTTAAACGTTAAGAACCCTGTAAACGACGCCAAATGCGATTGTCTCCATTATAGAACATCCTCTAGAACATCCTCGCACTCTCTAATACGTCTACAATATAGCAACGGAGATTGTGGGCGGGGCAAAATTGGAATAATTGATATTATTGCCTGAATTTCTGAACAATGTTTTCTAGAGGCAAATTAATTCTTGTTAAGTTAAGATACTGCGATTGTCTTCATTATAGAACATCCTTCTATTGATGTAATTTAACTTATTTTAATTGATATTTTAACTTGTAAAAAAGTCCAAGTACTTTTTTTTTTTAATTTACTTACAGCTCAAAAAATTCCAAAAGTTGACCAAATAATGATCAAAGCAATAACATCAATTATACCAATAATGCCACGGGCCACAGTCTCCCTTGAGAACCTGCGTCGCACTCTCTCATACGGCTACAATACAGCAATGGAGACTGTGGCCGTGGCATAATTGGAATAGTTGATATTATTGCCTCAATTTCTGAACAATATTTTCTACAGGAAAATTAATTCTTGTTACGTTTAGATATTTTAAAGTTGATATAAAAAAAAAAAATTGGAATTGAGCTTAATTGACATTTATTAAGTTAAAATATCATATAACTTGAACTTTTTTTTTGTTTTGGAAAAATAATGATATTTTAACTTATAAATGTCAATTAAGTTGCCTACGTATCCCTTATATTGGGAATCAAAGTCCACGTAGTTCTTTCGATTTACTTACCTGTACACGAGTGGTTGTCCCTAATAGTCATACTCGTCATCTCCTGTACCGGTTCCACCACTCGTCGTACTCGTAAAATCGGATGCGTCATCGTCGTCGTCTGCTTCTTCATCTACGTACATAGCCGTTTGCATCATTTGTTCGGCCTTTTTCCAATCCATCAGCAGCATTTGTGCTTGTAGATTTTCGGGCATCAGCCTCGATCGTCATGCGTCGAGCATATAACCTCCCTCGCTGAAGGCTTGTTCGACCACAACTGTAGATGCTGGGACGGCGAAAATCTCTTTGGCCATCAAGCAAGAAATAGGATATATGCCATGCATTCTCGACCACCAGTCCAAGACATCAAAATTGAGTGGCGAACTTGGTTCACGAGCAATCGTAAGTATCAAATTCGACGTTAGGTAGTGATCAAGCTCATAGTATCCAGTTCCCTTTGCGCTTTCAACGCCAGCATTCTTGTAGGGATTTAATGATGCCCACCACTCTTTATAGTTCGAAGCTCCTACTTGACTACCGCCGTAAGAAGAAGACCCGCTGCTGCTGCCCCCGCCGCCACGAACAAATGTGCTGGGAGGTTCACCTTGTGCGATCGTTGTTTCTCTTAAACATGTCATACACCAAAGTTTTCGCTTGCTCGACGAGCAGCAGTACGTTAGGTTTTTGACTGTATGTCGGGACATCAGTCGGGATTGGGAGTTCATACATATAATTATAGTACATGTTAAGCTGCTTTACCAAGCGAGCTTCACGTACCGAAGGATCTAACAAACATGCAACTAAATGTGTATCAGGAATGAAATAATAATATTTTAACCATTTCTATAACATTTCCTCAACTAAATAGCCATATTTATTAAAATTCAAGTCGTAAAGATCCTTGAAAGCCCACATTATGGCTATAGCTTGACTTAACACAAGCTGAGCAGTAGGATAATAAACAGCTGAAAGCATGTTAGTAGCATTTTGAAATGTTTCTAAAAATTGAATAAGTGCATTATAGTTCTCCCAATCTCTTGTTGACACTCGGACAGCACAGTCCTTACGATTTGAAGGGTTAAAAAAATTCTGCAATTGTGTCATAAACGGAACCGTGTCACTCAACATTTTAAATGTTGAGTTCCACCAGTTAGGAACGTCGGGTTGAAATTTTTTAGGTTTCACCCCTTGATCTTTACAAAAACGTCCCCATGCTTTCATTTCATGGGGACGTTTATGTAAATAATTAACAACATCCCTAATTGGCGTGACCGAATCTTTAAAAGCATGATAACCAGCTTGTACACAGAGATTTAAGACATGACATATACAACGAATATGAAAAATATTCCGCCGCAAATTGGAGTGCAAATATCGGTAAGTTCACGTATAGATGCAGTATTTGCAGTAGCATTATCAAACGAAATGGAAAACACTTTTTTACCTATTTGATATTTATCCAAAATTTTTGAAATTAAACGAGCAATATTAGAAGCAGTGTGTCGTTCATGAAATGCAACATAAGCAATTAAACGTTTTTGTAAACTCCAATTTTCATCTATCCAATGACAAGTAATTCCCAAATAGAAATTATTTTGCCAATGATCAGACAAGATATCAGCACAAATGGATACTCTATGATTTAAAGATTTAAAAGTTTCTTGCAAAATTACTTTTTTTTCCGCTACTATTTTTCGAATATCGCGAGTAAGAGTAGTACGTGGAACCCGGTGGGCAGCCGGATTCAAAGCCATTTGAGAAAAATGTTCATATAAATCACTATCACCAAAGTTAAACGGAAGAGATGAAGCAGAAATAAATTCAGCTAAATGGCGTCGAAGATTTTCATGTGAGTACTGAAATAAAGATGGCATACCTGTACCAATCGTGGCAGATGTAGCGCTACTACTCGGGAGTTGCGTCTGTGCCCTGTCAATTCCCAATTTTGTCGGATGATTCCTCTCTAAGTGTCGTTTCAACGATCCGTACCCGTCGCCTTTTTTGAAATGGTACTACTTCTTCTCGTTCGCCGGGCAGTAGTTGCAAACAGCTAAAAAGTGATTCTCACCTCTTGTCGGATTGACCACTTTCGTGTAATGTTGTTTGAATATGGCAGATGCCGGTCTGTCACGGGCGAAGACAGAGGCTGGGTCTGGGACCTCCGGGTCCGGCTGTTGCTGCTGCGTCGGTTGCTGAACCTCTGGCGAGGACTCTCCAAATATATCATCGAAATGGTCGTGATACGGCTGCTGTTGCTCTTGTTGCTCAGGCTGAATTGAGCCAAACATGCGCTCGATCGTCGCCTCATCAATGTCATCGGCGACACCGGGAATAGCCACATGTATCGATGGACTCACAAATTCCGGCAATGGAGGTCTCGACGAAGACGGGCCGGTGCCGATATTTCTACGCTTCTGTCCGAAATTCGAACCATGACCACCACAAGAGCTCGACATTTTATAATTTAAAGAATAAAAAATAAATTGAAGAAAATTATATAGAATATGATGAAATAAAAATAAATGGGGAGACGTGGTATTTTTTTTTCTTTTTCGGATTTTTAATTTTTATTTTTTTTTTCAATTTTTTTTTTCGGATTTTTTTTTTGGAAACCGAATACAAAACTAAAAACCGAGTGAGAACAATATAGTTATATAGAGTAAGAGAGAGACTAGAGAATAGGAAATTAGAAATTAGAGAGAAGAGAGAATGAGGTTTTGGTGTGAAAAATGTGGAAGTGGGGATTAAAGGGAAAAAATGATATTAAAATTTTTTTTTAAAATTTTTTTGAATTTTTTAATTTTTTCCGGATTTTTAATATTTTTTAATTTTGTGGACCCGCCGGGTCACGGTCCGTATCGGCGGGTCGGGCGGGCGAAAATTTTGGGCCGTTGGGTCCCAACGGTCATTTCCGATTTAACGGCCAGATTTTATTTTATTTTTTATTTTTTATTTTTTTTTCTTCGGTTGGGCCCGTGGACCGGCCCGAACCGTGGTCCAACCGGGCCCAACGGATATATGCGGTATGAGCACGTCCACTCCGCACTGCAGGATTCTGACACAGGGGCGGTCCGGTTGACCCAGCCCGACCCGACAAATATAAAAAATATTAAAAAATTAAAAATATAGAAACTGTTGCCGGCGGTCGGCCCGTGGCCCAACCCGGCCCAGCCCGGACCGCCGGGACCAAATTTTTTTTTTTTTTTGAACTTGTACCGGACCGCGACCCTTATATGGCTGGTTGCGGGCCGATTCGGTACCGGTTTCCGGTCCGGGTCGCGGACCGGTTCGGCCCGTGGCCATGTCTAGCTATAGGACTTGAAATACGAACCAATCTAAAACTCAAATCAATTCGAAGTCATTATTCATTTCCTACTAAAATACCGATATAATGGCAAAATGCCATTGATAGATATGCATATTATAGTTGGAAATAATTTGAATTTCCATTTTCCATTTTCCATGAATGGCTGACGTCAGAAAGTGACGCCCCCATCCCTTATCCCTTTAAATTTCCAACCCATTGTTTTTAGCCACGTGATTCATGCACCAATCCAACAACTTGCTCTCTACTCCAAAAAAGAAAAAAGAAAAATTTACAAAAAAAAAGAAAAAGAAAAATCCAACAACTTGCTCCACTTGTAATTTTTATGAACCTTCGGAGAACCCAAACCCAGTTGGAGAAGAGATAATCACAAACCATCACGCAATTCGTACAGTTAAAAAAATGTCAAAATATATTTTTAATTCCACTCATTTTTCCAGTGGTTCATGCACCTTCTTTCTCCTCCCTCACACACACTCTCTCTCCTCCCCTATATAAAACCCTTCCCTCCTTTCTCCCCCAAAAATTCAGATAATTTCCTCGCTCCCAAAACCTAAAAAAATACTCAATACACTGAAAAGTACCCAATCTGAATCTCAAAGAAATTCCATGTACCAGCCAATTTCCGGTGAGATAGCGACGGCGCCGGTGGAACTAACGGACGTGTACCGCCGGAGCTCCAGCTTCGGCAGTCTGGTCCCCTGCCTGACGGAGACCTGGGGCGGCCTGCCTTTCAAGGTCGACGACTCTGAGGACATGGTCATTTACGGCCTCTTGCGCGACGCCGTTAGGGACGGCTGGACGCCGTTCAAGGACGCCGTTAATGTCAGGTGGGCGCCTCTCGCCGACGCCGTTAGTGCCGGGTGGATGCCGTTCTCCGACGAGTGGACACCGTTCGCCGACATCGTCAAGGCCGAGCCGAGGTTCGATGTCGAGCCGGAGACGGATCTGGCCGGGGTAAGGACCGCACACGCCGTCGCTCCGCCGGCGACGACGGCGCGGCCCAAGGGGCGGCATTACAGGGGCGTGAGGCAGCGGCCGTGGGGGAAGTTCGCGGCGGAGATAAGGGACCCGGCGAAGAACGGAGCGAGGGTTTGGCTCGGAACGTACGAGACGGCTGAGGAGGCAGCTTCGGCTTACGATCGGGCGGCTTACAGGATGCGCGGCTCGAAGGCGCTGCTGAACTTCCCGCACAGGATCGGCCTCAACGAGCCGGAGCCGGTCAGGGTGACGGCCAAGCGGAGGTCGTCGCCGGAGATGTCCGGATCGAACAGCGGATCTCCTAAGCGGATGAAGAAGAAAGCTGCGGCCGAGACGGAGGTCGGGAGCCAGCCTCGGGTGTGCCAGGTGACAACGACGTCGTTGCCAGCTGGAGGGACACTAGTGGTGGCGTGAGCATCAGCTGGGGGAATTTGGCTATGGCGTGTTTGGTTTGTGCATATTAAAAATATTAGAAATTTTGGGCCCAGTGGCATGTAATGGGCTGAATGTGGAAAAAGGGTGCTTTAGTGGATAGAAAATATCAAAAAGGTTTGGTAGAATTTCAATATCCCACTGTTTTTTATATATTGGACTCGAAAGGGATCTATGAGATCAAATTTTTGTGATTAATATGAAATGGAATTTTTGTAATAATGTTGAAGTCCTGCGATGACAATCTACCTTAAGCTTATTGCAACTGTTGATACCAAACTAAGAAGACCGACAACTAGATTCGAAGACATTTGAAGCATAAATCAATTATTTATATATTAATTAGGTCGGTAATTCTTATATGTTATCAACCTCAACCAAATGAGAAACCTTGAGTAAAAAATATTAGATTAGCCGATCAAAAGACTTTAATAGCGCACCATAAGAGATTGAACCTACATGCACCTTATTGAAGTTCAATCCCAAAATCAACGCTCTCTCATTTGTGAGTCTTTCGTAAGCCCAAGCCCGCATAGCAGGTCGGGTAGAGAGATAAGCCCAAGCCCAGAGCAGACCGGGTAGAGAGAGCCATTGCAGGTCCTAAGACAGCCCCGCTCTGATACCATATTAGAATCGAGGGAAGAGGGTGCGGTCCTATCAGGTGAAGCGCGTGCGGTCCCACCCGGTAAAGCGCACCATAATAGGGTGAACATAGTGCACCTTAGTGAGGTTCCATCCCAAAACCAATTGGTGATGAGAGGAGTAACCCACTAGGCTTATATACTATGCTCATTTATCCTATAATATCAAGGTGGGACTACTCACAACTGATATTCCAATAATATATCTGTTTTAAATTCGTTGTTATTGTAAAGAATTTGAAGTGAAAAGTTTAGTTCATGTATGAAATTCTATTGAAAATAAAAATGAAATAAAAACTAAATAATAAATTACAAGTTTGTATATGGGGCATTACTATTTGGAAAAATGCTACAAGTAGTATATAATAAATGTACATAGAGGTGTACAAAACACTCACATGGAATGGGGTCCATTTGTTTTTTTATTTTTGGTCGGTCCCACTCAATGTAAATGTTATGTGCACCCTTATGTACAATATTATGTACCTATAACATTTCTCTTATTCTTTGCTATATCAAGCAATATCTGGATTGAACCTGCAATAGGACCGAAATTATTCGAGGCTGTATTTAATTTAATAAATGGAAAGAATTTCAATTAAAAAGAGGACTTAAGATAAATAATAACTTTAATTAGAAATACTTTACCATAAAAACCACCTGCAGAATGAGTGTATCAAATGCAATGTATACCATTTCAATATTTTTATAATTATAGAATCGAAATTCTCAAGTTCTTATCCTACATTCAAATGAAATCTTAAAATTTTAATTTTCTTGTTTGGCTAAGAGAATTGTTCAATAGTTATGACTATTATAATTGTATTATTATGAATTAGTTTCGAAACTTGACCACTGGATGTCAGCTTAGATATTTGTTTATCCAAAGCTGATATACCATTTCTGTATAAAAAATTATTAAATCTGACAGAAATTCCAAATCGTTATTTCTAGTAAATTATGTCAGGGCAAATACTAATCTTTCAATGAGAACACGATTTAAAAAATAATTTAGCAGTTGTTTGTGAGTATATTTGTTGCTTGTACAATGTAACTACGTGATAATATATTTAGTTACAATCGTGTTTTAAATTATCTACACATACGTGTATCTTCCATAAGTTAGTTATAGAGTTATAATATTATGGAGTAGTATTGTTGTATTATAGGCTAGATTAAGGTCAATCTAAGGTTAAGACTCATCTTATGTCTTTATATATATATAAGATTTGGTTTAAATGAGAATTAAGTACTAGCGTGAGAACCGTGAGAATCGCTCTTTTTAATTGTATGTAGTGCTATGATTGATTGTATTTTAATACTATTTATAATCAGGATGTATTTTATTAAAAATAGCAAGACAATTTATATTAGCATTTGTAAAAATGATAGCACCATGTGAGATTAAAAATAGCATTATACACAATTAAAAATAGCACGAAATATGGTTCTCACGGTTCTCACACCAGGACTAGTTTTTATTTTGGCTGTGTTTGTTTAATAGCTTTTTGGCCTTAAAAGAGTTTTTGAACTTTTTAGCTATTTGACTTTTTCCAATCAGCTGAAAAATATGTTTGGTAAACAGCTTTTTCAATTAGCTTTTTTGGCCCAATCCGCTAAAATGGAAAACGCTGCTTTTCCTAACGTTTTGATTTAGCGATTTGTAAAAAAAGAATTAAAAGTCTTAATTGCCCTTTTATTATTATATTCATACCACATGGGACGTAAGTCAAAATCGTCTTGGATTAAAATAGTGCACTGCTCTTAACTTTTTATTCAAACCTATAGCAATAAAATATATATCACATTTTTTATATTTTAAAAATAGAAATAATATTTCGTTTTTTAAAATTATAATTAATGTTACATAAGAAAAATATTCACATATAAAAATGTAATTCCAACTAATTCTAGTATAATACTTAACAAATAATTTTACCAACATTTTTTTCTAAAATTTTAAATATATATAATTTTAGTTACTTAGATGTACATAGAAACTTTAAGAAATTGTTAACGTAAGTTTTAGTTACTTAGATTTTCTTTTATATATATTTTTTTAATTGTTATGAGAGATATCGAAATTGGCTCATATTTATTTTTTTAAATAGTGATGACTTGTTATTAGTTTTGTTTACAGGACGTGAACTTATTTACTCAATCAAGAAATATTTTTGTTTTATTATTATTTATATTTTTATTATATTTTAAATCACTTTAATAAATATTTAAAATATTAATTATTTTTCTTTCCTATATAATTATAAGTTCAACATAAATGAGAACGATAAATTATGTTGATGTCCTTATAAGTAATTTTGCATGTTAACAGCTAATTAAAAATAGCTAATCCTACCAAACACTCTTTTACAAACCGCTAACACAATCATCTAGTCAAACCAGCTAACGCAATCCGCTGGCCAAAACAGCAAATGCAATCAGCTAACAGCTATCAGCTAACCGCTGATTACCAAACAAGGCCTTTAACCAACTCCTATATATATATATATATATATATATATATATATATATATGTCTTTGTAAAGAGACAATTTAATTTTTTCACCTCACATGGTATTAGAGCTAGGGTTAGGGTCAAACATAATCTAGATTTTTTGTCGCTCGTCTCCATCTATCCTCTCTAACAAAATTTGTTAGAATGGACGAGTTAAGCATAAACACCATCACATACTTGATATTGTTAGTGCTCTTCTCCTGCTAAGTGTCTTCATATTGTAAAATGCCCAATAATTTGGGTAGATAACAATTTTACTTGGTAACTTCTATGATTGTAGAAAATATCCACTAAATATCACATAGCGAATATGTTATCAAAACACATGAGTTAATGGGTACTTTTCACCCTTTTTTACATTAGCTGGTGGATATTTTTGTATTTTGTGGCATATTAATTTGCTTGATTTTTATCAGTTGGTAGATATTTTTTGAAATTACAAAAATTGCTGTGCAAATTAGCTATTGGCCCTAAGTTATGGGCCAATATATTTAGTTAATGTACCTACCCTGATTTTATAATAAACTCATACCTATTTCTAGAAACAGATGGGCAAAGGATGAAAAAGAGCTAGAGAAACATATATTCAACGGAAATGATCAAAATTCAAACCTTAGGCCCAAATGCGTATAAATGATGGCAAAAACTATTTTCTACCAAATGTGTATACTTCACACCATAAATAGGTTGACGTTGACTAACAACAGATGTGAAATATTTATTGCAATCTGACTTATTATTGATTGCATCAAAAAAATTTATATGAATGGGGTCGTGCCGAAGGCTTCAATATGTACACGTACAAGTCAGTTGCACTATCGTGTGCCTAGGCACACCTTGCTAGGTGTGCCATGCCCGATTTGCACGCGCTGCTCATTCTCAAAAAGCTCAAAAAGCTAGAAAATTTAGAAGGTGTAGTGCACTCTCCCAATTTTTATTTTTTAATGAAAAAATGAGACATATTACATAAATTAAAATATCATTAATTATTTATATTAAAAAAATAAAATAAAAATACCAAAATTCATAATTTTTCATTATCTATAAATAGAGACCACATTTGATAGGTTTTTGAACACAACTAATTTTCGTTTTTTGGTAACATGTTCACCTTATTGTGTATGTAAGATGTTCATTTTATTCTATAACATGTCATTTTATTATGTAACATGTTCATCTTATTCTATAACATGTTCATTTTATTATGTAACATGTTCATTTTATTCTATAACATGTTCATCTAATTTTCATCTGTGAAAATGTAACATTTTCATCTTATTAGAGAAGATTTTGGTTTGTGAAGGTGGAGGATATTCGATCGAAAGACTAATTTATGAAATTTCTTTTACATTCTACTAGTTTTTCACTTTCATTCCATATAGTATGACTATTGCATAAATTTGAGTTCTTATATGTAGATTATGGTTTATTATTTCAAGGCGGGGGTGCTTGCATTAAACGAGTGAAAGTCGAGCAAGAAATTGACCAGAATTTTATATATGAAGTGGAAATTGGAGAAAATAATGTGAGAGCCCGTGATGTAGATATGGAATCTAAACATGTCCATCTTATTCTATAACATGTTTATTTTATTATGTAACATGTTCATCTTATTCTATAACATGTTCATTTTATTATGTAACATGTTCATCTTATCGTATAACATGTTCATTTTATTATGTAACATGTTCATCTTATTTTATAACATGTTCATCTAAATTTCATATGTGAAAAATGTAACATTTTCATCTTATTAGAGAGGATTTTGGTTTGTGAAGGTGGAGGATATTCGATCGAAAGACTAATTTATGAAATTTATTTTACATTCTACTAGTTTTTCACTTTCATTCCCTATAGTATGACTATTGCATAAATTTGAGTTCTTATCTGTAGATTATGGTTTATTATTTCAGGGCGGAGATGCTTGCATTAAACGAGTGAAAGTCGAGCAAGAAATTGACCAGAATTTTATATATGAAGTGGAAATTGGAGAAAATAATGTGAGAGCCCGTGATGTAGATATGGAATCTAAACATGTCCATCTTATTCTATAACATGTTTATTTTATTATGTAACATGTTCATCTTATTCTATAACATGTTCATTTTATTATGTAACATGTTCATCTTATCGTATAACATGTTCATTTTATTATGTAACATGTTCATCTTATTTTATAACATGTTCATCTAAATTTCATATGTGAAAAATGTAACATTTTCATCTTATTAGAGAGGATTTTGGTTTGTGAAGGTGGAGGATATTCGATCGAAAGACTAATTTATGAAATTTATTTTACATTCTACTAGTTTTTCACTTTCATTCCCTATAGTATGACTATTGCATAAATTTGAGTTCTTATCTGTAGATTATGGTTTATTATTTCAGGGCGGAGATGCTTGCATTAAACGAGTGAAAGTCGAGCAAGAAATTGACCAGAATTTTATATATGAAGTGGAAATTGGAGAAAATAATGTGAGAGCCCGTGATGTAGATATGGAATCTAAACATGTCCATCTTATTCTATAACATGTTTATTTTATTATGTAACATGTTCATCTTATTCTATAACATGTTCATTTTATTATGTAACATGTTCATCTTATCGTATAACATGTTCATTTTATTATGTAACATGTTCATCTTATTTTATAACATGTTCATCTAAATTTCATATGTGAAAAATGTAACATTTTCATCTTATTAGAGAGGATTTTGGTTTGTGAAGGTGGAGGATATTCGATCGAAAGACTAATTTATGAAATTTATTTTACATTCTACTAGTTTTTCACTTTCATTCCCTATAGTATGACTATTGCATAAATTTGAGTTCTTATCTGTAGATTATGGTTTATTATTTCAGGGCGGAGATGCTTGCATTAAACGAGTGAAAGTCGAGCAAGAAATTGACTAGAATTTTATATATGAAGTGGAAATTGAGAAAATAATGTGAGAGCCCGTGATGTAGATATGGAATCTAAACATGTTCATCTTATTCTATTACATGTTCATTTTATTATGTAACATGTTCATCTAAATTTCATCTCTGAAAAATATAACATTTTCATCTTATTCTATGACATGTTCATCTTACTCTATAACATGTTAATCTTACTATGTAACATATTTATCTAATTATATATTTGCGTCATAATCTTCCAATAAGATAAATTAATTGTAAAAAATGATAAATTAATTGTGTTCCAATGTTCATATGTTCATCTTACTATATAACATGTTCATATGTTCATCTTATTTTATAACACGTTCATATGTTCATCTTATTGTGTAAATATGTAACATGTTCATCTTATTCTATAACATGTTCATCTTGTTATGTAACATGTTCATCTTATTGTATAAAATGTTCATCTAAATTCCATCTGTAAAATTATAACATTTTCATCTTGTTCTATAACATGTTCATTTTACTATATAACATGCGCATCTTAGTATGTAACATGTTCATCTTATTATATATTTGTGTCATCACCTTCCAAAAAGATAATTTAATTATAAAAAAGGATAAATTAATTGTGTTCCAAAACTTATCAAATGTGGTCTCTATTTGTAGAGATTGAAAAATTATGAATTTTAGTATTTTTATTTTTATTTTTTAATATAAAATGTGAATAATAATTTAATTTATATAATATGATATGTAAAATTTATTATCCAATATATATTGGACACTTGTCTTTTTTAAACAAAAAAAAAAACTTGCATACCTTATTATCTCTCTCTCTGCGCGTGCACCTAGGATTTGGACAGGATTTTTATTTGTAAAGCCACGCTCCTTTTTCTTACGTGTAGCCACTCTCTGCCTTGGTACACCTAGCAAGGTGTACCTAGGTGCACGTAAGTATTTGCGCGTACAAGTGACTAATTAAAATCTCATATTTATTTATAAGTCAATATTCCCCTTTCACATTGCGGGAAATATTCCAAGTGTTTGGAAAACGACTGTTGACCGTCGTTTTTCCCTTGCTTAGAATTTTTTATCAGCAGAAACTAATGTTGCCTCTAAATAATTGATCTTTTTCTATTTATTTACTACATTGACTTCCTCATAATTAATGTCAAAAGTCCATATTTCTTAAAAAAAAAATGTTTGAATAGTGCAAATTATTTTATTCACCTCAAATATTAAGTTGCTATAATATGTGTAATTGTCCACTGGATTTAAATTGTGGAATATTACTAATATATGATTTTATTTGGCTGGTAATTGATATCGGATAATTAATTATATAAGTCGATAGGTGATAGCGAATTATAATAGCTGATTTGATTATTGAGTTGTACTAACGATTTGCAAATAATTGTTTGATAAACATTGCCTTGTATAGCCATTATGAAAATTTTATATGACATGTTAAAATTTTTATGTGACGTGTTATTTTACAATTTTTTTTCAAAACATTCATGTATTGAGCTTTTTTAAATTAACGTTTTCAGGAAATTCTTATTTACCAAACAAGTTAGTTNAAAAAAAAAAAAAAAAAAAAAAGTTAGTTAGCGAATTTTACAGATCAAACTTCCAAACTCTAACTTAGGATCAATCCACTAATTTATTGAAAACCTGTAACACCTAAAACGAAATAGTCCAGTGAAGGTGTAAAACTGGGTTTCCACGTGAGAGTGGGCTGGGAAACTGGAAGGTCCGTTATATCTCTGTTTGGGCCTTTGGTCTAATAATCTCGTTAAAGAAGCCCAAAAGCCAATCAAGAATTGTTTGCTATTTAAAACACAGTCCACAGTATTTTGAGCGAAGGCCCTAGTCATGAAGTAAAGGGTTGAGCATTGTGAGCAGCATATATGCATGTTGTTTGTCAGACTTAATTGGCCCATTCTCTATTTGGTTTTTTGGGTTTAAATTTCTACTTTGGAAATGTATGTCTGGATATCTTTCTTCCTTCATCATCTCTTGAAGAGAGCTTTATGTTACATCAGTTTAATTATCAGACCAGCATAATTCTTTTCATAAATTTGCGATACATTTAATAGAGACTATCATATTTAAGGAAATAATACGAATATATGTAACTCGCCTAAGCATCTCTAATGGTCAAATGTTGTTGTTGTAAATTATATTCCACATCAACACATTTAATAAATTCACCATTTTTTCATCTTCAATGTACAATGTGATCACAAATATTGTGATGATGTGGACATAATTAATGTCTACAATGTAGAGAAGAATGTGGTTCATCCACATTCTCTTCTACACTCTATCTAACTAATGAAAAAAGAGAGAGAAATATTCTTACCAATTATAAGCAATCTAATTATTTAATTAATTTAATTTTTTTTTTAATATTTGATAAGTATATAATATTGTAGTTAGACTATATTGTGAATTGAATAGAATTTATTGACATTTGGCAAAACTTATTCTAATACAACATTAGAGCATTGGAGATGATGCTTATATTATAGCTCGTCTCAGTAAAAAATTTGTGTTTTGACTAGTCCTAAATAATTAGGCTACATAATAATGTGTTTAGCGTGGCAATTTTAATTTTAAATTGTGGAATGCAATAATGGAGCTACGAAAATGGGGTAATTTCATGAGAAGTCTCTTCACGTTACTTCAAAGAAATTTATACCAAATAAATTATTTTNACATTCTTAAATATCTACAGGTAAAACATAAACTCGTAGCAGAAAACCTGCCATGAAAAACGCCTAAATCAAACAATCTAACAATCGAAAACTGACATCTGTTCCCAATCGAAATTATCCAATATGCGAAAGTCCTCGTCAGTCAACTCACCGAAACCGATCGAATCCGGACTCAACTCAGGCAAATCCGCCAACAGTTGCTCCATATCCACCGCATCATCAAACGGCAAAACAATATCCGTATTATTCTCATTCACATCACTACTCATCCTCCACTTCTCTTGGCAAACACCGTCATAACCAAACGGCACAAAAACAGCCGCCGTATTATTCTCGTCCACGTCGCTACTCCTCCTCGGCTTCTTGTGGCAAACGCCGTTAAATTCCCTTTCCTCGATCTGATTATCTCGATTAATCTTCTTGATACCGTCATAACCAAACGGCACAAAAACAGCCGCCGTATTATTCTCGTCCACGTCGCTACTCCTCCTCGGCTTCTTGTGGCAAACGCCGTTAAATCCCCTTTTCTCTATCTGATTATCTCGATTATTAATATTCTTCATTTCCTTGGATACCCGAGTGATCTTACAGATCACGTACTCCGTCTGCTTCACCCGCTCGTCATCCAAACACGGCCCAGCCAACGAGTACTCGTGCATGATCCAATGATCTTCTTCTCGTCTTTCCTGACAATCGGGCTCGTACGTGAACATCTTCATGAGCCCGATCAGCAGCTGTTGTTCGTTGTGTATCTCCCGACCGCGCGTCTGGCCGTTCCACGCGCCGGGCCCGGCCCGCCTTTTGATGCGGGTTTTGGCGCGGTTGATTTTGGACAGCTTGGTGAGCGCGTAAGCCACGCGCGTGACATAAATTATTGTCCCGTCTGGGGAGGGTTTTTCGGAGACAAAGTCCCAACGGGGGTCGGTGGTTTCGGGGAAAACGAGGCGGGGGTCAGCGTGGGGCCCGTAGATGTCGGCCTCGAGTATGAGGTCGTTGACCGGAAGAGGGAGGCCCTTTGACCAATGGAGAAGGTAGAATTCGATGAGCTGGGCATCGGTCGGAAGGAAATGGTGGCCCGGCGGAATCATGGCCCGTGTCCACTCGCGCTGCAGGTGGCTCATTTTNTTCTATCGTGTTTAACTTTTGATCACGAACTTCCAGGTGATAATTTATAGTTCAGTTTTGATTGATCCTTATTCCTAATGGAATAGGGAAATTTTTTTATATATAATATTCCTATTTTGGATATTAAGTTTGTTAAAAATGTACTTTACCAGAAACTTACTAATAAAACCTAACTAATACAATAAATTAAATTGTGTAAACAGAACTAATGTCCATGTATAATATAAGATAGAATAAATGTATAATTAAAAATTCTTACCGAATGAAATAGGATTTCATATTTAAAATATAAAGATTATTTATATTTTATAAAAATGATGGAAATCGTTCTTGTTTTATGATAAAAGTAAAGTATCCCTATGTATATTAAATATATTGACGGCGTTGTCAACAAAATAACATTGCTAATTAAACACGGGAACGTTCTCTAAATAAAATTACATTATATCTTTATAATTGACTTGCGTCATATTTACGTACATTTTGGAGTGATTTTCGTGCACATTTTTGTCGTAGTTTGATATATCTTTATATATATATATTCAGTTAATTTAATTAAAATGGTGAAGGTGAAGGCAGAGTTTGTGCCAACAAACTGGAGAGTACCTTTATGAAGTCCAAGTTATAAAATAGCGTTGCTAAATCATTGCTTTGGGCCATATTCGGTGTCTATTCAGTCCTCGGAGATGCAGTTTGATTTTCATGGCTTGATGGCGACACTTCTGGCTGCATATGACGTTATTTAAAAAAGAATACTCCGAAAACAAGTTCGGGATCTTCCTCTAGCGCAAAAATGTTGCTATGTCAAATTGAAGCAACAAAAAATATGGTCAAGAATAACAGAAAGACTTGTTCGTGGTTGGATATTTGTCGATCTGGAATTTTGTTTAGTCTTTTTGTGTGTTATTTATTTTATGGTAAAAGTGTTTTTCTCCCTCTTTCCGGTAAAATCCCCACACCTATTTAACTGTAGTGCAGGTGTGCACTGGGGGTCTTTGTAGTACAAAAGTGTAGTATAATCCCCCCTTATATATTAATTGAGAACGTGCTGAGCCTATGTGGCAGGCTCTCATGCTTCGGGATCCTATGTGGCAAAATTACATGCTTCGTTATTAGACTTGGATAGATTTAATTTACTTCTAATCCAAAAAATATTTAGGTTCGGATAATCTATAAATATGTTGATTATTTATGGTAGGGGTAGGCACGGTCCGGGACGGTCCTGGATTGACTTGTCCGGATACCCATCCCACTTTTATGAATCCGTCCATGAACGGTCCGGGATGAAGCACCGTCCCCACCCATGTAATACATGAGTGTTGTACTAGTCCGTTTTTAATTTTGAAAAGTACAACTGCATTTCATGCCAAAAATTATTTTGATGTATGTGCTCGACAACAGAGCCGGCTTTTTGGGGAGGCAGCCTAGGCCCATGCCTAGGGCGGCCTCCCCATATATTTGAGGCCTAGTTTTTTTTTTTCAATATTATATATTGTAATGAGTTTGGCCTATTTGCACATATGAAGTGACTAATGGCTAAATATAGACTTGACCCATTATACAAATAAATGGGCTAATTAATGAATGGACTAGTGGGAAAATATGTACTTTATGTGGAAATTTGAAGCCCTAAATATTTCATTTGTTTCCTTATGATGTTCGGTTAGAACAATTGTGTGAGAATAAATATTATTTGCAGTGATATGATTTTTATTTTCTTCTTGTTGTTCTCATGACTGCTTGAATATAAATTATTGAAGATCTTTGTAACTCATAGTTAATTTATCAATTCCAAGGTCTAGAAAAAAGATTTGTTTTTTCAATTATTTATTTATTTATTTAATAGTCTTTTTTAATTAGGCTTTTTTTCTTCTATGATTCTATCAACAAATAGTCTAATTACCACGTAAGCTCAAATCGAGAAATTCGAAAAGGACAAACTTGTCTAGGGTCTCCAAATTTCTGGAGACAGCCCTGCTCGACAAGTTGGTGGATAGATGCATATCTTGTCAGTAATTAATCCCGCTACAAGTGGCAGCAAGTCGTCTTAAAGGGAGTTCGGCTAATCGAGAATATCCTGGGTCACTCTCGTGATCTGTCCGTCGTTCGATACTTGTGAAGAGCCTTTTGTTATACCGTTGACTCATCTTTTGACTGTCGACACGTGTTCTGAGGGGATTGGGCGGCGAGTTCGAATATCGACACTATTATAATACAGGACATGCAAATTATGCAAATAAAATATGTCACTTTAAATAAGAATAATAATGCAAATTTTAAAAAGTATTTAACATTTAAATTAAAAAAAAAAACTTCTTTTTTATATATATTTTCTAAAACTTCAATATAAGTTTTTTAACTAGCATCCGTGTAATTACGAGTAATGTACTATTAACATATTATGAGAAATATATTTTAATGGGATTTCTTTTACACTGGTTGTATTCAAATAAGCCTCGTTTCGTAGGGACGAGTTTTTTTAGAAAGCTCGAGCTTATCTCATAAGCTACTTAGGTACCTTTTCAAATAAACTAGTTGAATTTTTATTTCAGCTAGCTTATCAGCTAATTTTACCAAACACTTTTATCATATAAGCTAACTTTTCAGCTATAAGTCATAAGCTATAAGCTATAAGCTATAAGCTAAAAATTACAAATAAGCTATAAACTAGCTTATCAGCTAGTTTTACCAAACATAACCTATATTACGAATCACATAGAAACATAGTAACTTGCGTTTATTTGATTATCTCGTCTATAATGAACCTTTTTTAAATATGTGGTTGTAGAACAGTGAATAATTGTATCAATATTAAGAGTGCATTTGGTAAGCACCATGAACTAATTTATAACTTATTATGTTAGCTTATAAGTTTCATGTATTTAAATAAGTTTGGTTTGGTGTAGGACGAACTTTTCGAAATTATCTTATAAGTTTACTTAGCTTTTCAAACAAGTCTGTTAAAATTTTTATTTCAACTTTCTTATCTATCAATTTTACCATAAGTGATAAATATTAGTTTTAAGCTCGAAATTCACTTATAACATATCAGCTAACTTATCAGTTGGGGTTACTAAACATGGCTTAAATTAGTTTTGANTTAAAAATTATTATTATTATTATTATTGTAAACCAAATCTCAACAATACATATTCAAAACGTTTGAACTCTTGCAAATCATGTTGATACAAATCTATCATGCATGCTCGAATACTAGGATAAGGCATATGTTAAAAAAATATTGTAGACATCATATGCGAGGTCAAAATCCGTGAAATTCTTTCATCTTTGGTTATTCTAATTAAAATAGAATTTATTACCAATCAATGAGAAATTCTATTAATTATATTTAAAATATGTTCATTTTCATAATTCAATTTGAAAAAATTAAAACAAAAAAGTATCTTTTAATTTATTTTATATTGACGAAGAATTATAACACTTAAAAATAAAATTATTCCATTGTAAGTCGAAAAGTGGAGATTGGACAAAATTGACACGGAAATAAAAGTTAATAGATGAAAAATGAGGTATGACAAAAGATTAAGGAGGAAATTTAAAACAAAATTTAAAGTTGATGTACCAAATTGAAATACTAAAAATGTAATTGAAAAAAATTGGAAACGACAAATAAAATGATAGACTAAAATTATAGTCTTCTCAGAGAAATACATAGAATTGGAAAAGGATACAATGGTAAATTTTTATTATCTCTTTATCCCATCGAATATTACCTAATCTAATCTAATATACTAAATTTACCCACACCCCCCAAATATCTTTGCCAACTTGGATATGATTATATATGACCAAACATGGATTAAATCTCCATGTTACATAATTAACAAAATCAACACCTAAATAATATAATGATAGGCCTTGTTATAACAAAATCCGAATGTCGCACGTATATATGAAAGGCGGTCTCTCATAATCCACAACAAAATCTCCATGTCTTTTCCGTCTTTACACCTCCCAATCCTCATCTCTACTCTCCCTAGCTATATATATATGTACACACGTATAGAGAGAAACGCGATTTGCGTGTGCAGATTAGAGAAAAAAAAGGGATGCCTAGCGAGCACGCGAGGAAGTGCGGCCACAAGGCTCACAACTCGAGAGCTTGCGGCGGCAATTCCTGTGGCGGCGGCGCCTTCAAGCTGTTCGGCGTTCAGATCGACGTCGCCGGCGGCGGATCGACCATAAGGAAAAGTAAGAGTCTCGGAAATCTGGAGGCATGCAGCCTCGATAACCCCGCCGCCGGTGACCTGTCTGGTAACTTGTCCGATGGCTATGTTCATCAGTCGGCCAGATCGCTCGAGAGGAAAAAAGGTTCGATTAATCGATTGATTAAGAAATAATAATTCATACTTTTTAATAAATATATTATATGCTATTGTTTTTTTTATATCATTTATCTCTGTGTTCATGCAAATCCGTCATACAATGAGCAGGATTTGAATTAGAAATTGGAATTCTTGTCTGTCGATTGTGGATTTTTATTTATTTATTTATTTTCATTTTTTTGTAGCTTTTCAATGTTTGTTTCTCTAATAAATTTGACAAAAAATTAAAAATAAAAAAATATTGTGTTAGGAGAGAAAAGTTTACAGTTGTAGTCCTAGTCCCAAGTTGCTGTATGCGTCTACAATCACAAGCATAAGGTTAGTTTTTATTTTGTAATTACATGTTGAGGGGGAAAACTTGTTGTGTGTTGTATGTATCTACAATCACTGGCATAGAGTTAGTTTTTATTTTGTAATTATATGTTGAGGGGGAAAAAGTTTAGTGCAATTTGGTTGGTAGGTTGGTACTTATTAATTGTTGTGCAATGGTGAGAATTGTGGAGTTTGTTTTATAGGTAGGCCATGGTCCGAGGAGGAGCACAGATTATTCTTGGTTGGTTTGGAGAAACTCGGTAAAGGTGACTGGAAAGGAATAGCTACTAACTATGTGCCCACGAGGAACTCATCACAAGTGGCCAGCCATGCACAAAAGTATTTCATCCGACTGTCGGCCACCGAGAAGAGGAGACGCCGCCAGAGTGTTTTCGACATTCCTCTTACTGATGCAGTAAGATTCAAAACATCAGTAGTATGAGTCGAGCATTAATGTGAATTTTGTGCCTCATTTGCAGATAATTCGATAGTTTTTCTCATTTGGGACCAGACCTTGAACTGTGTTTCAAATCCCCATGAAATGAAGAAAATGTGTTTTTTAAGTTCGATTTTTCATGTTGGGGAAACTTTGTTCTAACAAAATTCTAATATCAATGATGAGACTAATGTCGATTGATTTGATTTTTTATGTCATTTCTTTCAACCCTTACTGCTGGTATTGATTGACTCTGTTTATTAATTAATGATGCAGAACCAACCATCTCAAGGCACTCCTGGTTCACAACCTGATAAGGCAGCCAAAAGTTCAGAGCCTGTAAGTTCCTACAGCAGCGTGAAGATTGTTTTTGTCACCAATATTAATTCGATAAATTTGAATCATTTGTGATTTGGTATGCAACTGTTCAGGTTACTACTAGCTGGGCAGGGGCTGCCTCCACAAACAACACCAGTGAGTCGAAAGGATTGGTGAGTTAATTAATCATTTTTTTTTTCATATGTGTTTCAATTTTTTTTTTTTTCTTTCTGGAATGTTTAAGAAAGTGTGTTGTAAAAATCAAGTTTACAGAAAAACACTAACAAACATAACTAGTAAGTAATGAACATACATATTACTTAAGTTGATTTCATTTCAAAAATCATTTTTCAGGCTAGCACCAATATTCCTCCTGGTAAAACTTCTGAGAGGCCCCCTCTTTCGCCAATGAATAGGCGTGGGAATCCTGACTTGCGTGGTATGGTATACGCGGTACGTATTTATGAAGTTTCGAGCATATGCTTCAAGTATAAATTACATAATTTTTCGATCCTACATAAAGTTTGTCTATTTACGAAACACCCAACTAATATAAAGCAGTACATAGATTAACCTTACGATTCATATGTAGTTTATTCCAGTAATTTTTCTTGTGCAGCCAAGAGTTTCGGGCTTAGGCCAAGGCTTATCATCAGCTCAAGCATTTCAGCCGACCGTTGCATGGGTCCCATTCGTGACTTTCTCAAACCAGAATAGTGTTATTCTACCCAATATTCATGGGGCTTTGGTGCCAAATTGTGGGAAGTTTGTGGGGCAGCCGTCTATTGGTAAGTTCCCTCAGTCGACACAAATGGGAACAACTCAGGCGGGAGTTGTACCGCCTGCAGCTAATGACGAGCTGAACCTGAATATTAGGAAATTAACATTATAATATATGAATATACATACTTCTCCTTGTGGAAGAACAAATGAAAGAAGTTTTTTATGGCGTCTTGTAATAACCCCATTATTTCTTCCTTGTCCTTAGTTGATTCGTGTTACATAGATATTTTTTTGTGAAGCTTCATGCTTCAGGTTTTTGCTTTGGTTGCTACTGATACATGCGCAATGTTCTATCTCTATCATTCTTTGTTCAAGAAATATGATAGATCAATCTGTTTAATCATTTCTTTATGTAATCCATTATGATAGGAGGTAGCATTTCTTTATGTCATCCAAATATGATAGATCAATATGATATGAGGTAGCATTTCTTTATGTCATCCATTATATTTGTGTGAGAAGATCTCGCATTTCGAATTTCAATCTATGTTTGGTGAATAACAATGTTGTAATTATATGTTTTATTCACTAAACTAAATTGAATGGAATAAAAACGTTGAAAAACGATTTTGGAAGATAAAGATAAGATGTATTTTCTTGTGCCACCAGTTGTATAAGGGTCTTTTTAACCCTCAAGTGGGTTATCCAGCATGGCCTTGGAAAGTGGACTGCAGGCCATGGGGCGATTTCCACCCATGTGTTTATTTAATTTCTCCTGTTTTTTTATTCACTTGTCATGTATTATTCAAAAAAATCTACGTATTTATTAGTTAAATAAGGTTAATTATAGAAAATATGTACAAAAGATTTAAAACGTTATTTATTTTGTTAATAATTAATAAAGTCAAAATGACATTTAAAAAGAATAGGAGGTAGCATTTTTTCTTCTTTTTTTTTCCCTAAATGCGAAAGAGATAATATTTTTGCACTTTGTGTTGTTTAACTTAATTACTGTTTTCATTTTGTTATATTATTTCGTTTATCACTTCAATATTCAAATGCACTCTGCTATAGAATATAGTCCCTTGCAGACCGAACCGGTAAAAAAGGACTAAGATCGACCCTACACATAAGGACCGATCTAACACTACTTCGAACCGAGATCGATCACGCTACTAGGATCGATCCCATGCTGAGAACATATCGAACCTCTAAGGTTGATCCCGTGTTAAGCCGGCTTAAACCTACAGGTGACAGTCGGCTCGATCTTACGTGTAATCCTAATTTGATAGGGTCCGTACGATAAATAAACATCTATATATATAGCGGGAGCATTAACTGCGAAAGGTAAGTCACATTTAATTCCCAACAAATACACTATCATTGTTCATCTTCTTCCATCTCTATATACTAACTTGAGCTTCGAAGGGTTTTGTGCTGGAAAAACTCCGAAGCCCTTTTGCAGGTACCCCACTCGACTCTAGTCTGAACCAGGGACCGGAGAAGGAGGCTCTACTTCTGAATCGAGGACCATTCCGGATCGGAGTCATCTACAATGGACCTTATCACACTTCTATTTCATATAATCGAATGATACACTACTGAACAATAAATCCCTCTTCATTAAAATATACATGCAGTATATCTCGATCAATCTTATGTGTCGACTTCTTGTGCTTCGTAATTTTATGTGTTGAATTCTAGTGTTTCGGAATCCTATGTGTCAATTTTTAATGTTTGGGAATAGTCTATTTAGATACCAGCTAGCAAAGCTAGCACGACTAGCACACTACAACACAAACTAAACTACAACCACAACAAAAAAAAACATAACAAATCCCCACCAAGGTAATATCCGAGTGTAAACTCCCAACAGGAGAATAAAGGCTACACTCAGGCAAAACAGGGGCCAACGGCCCAAACCAAAAAACACAAACAAAAAACACAAAGACTGCACCAACACAAACACAACAATCACACAACAAAGAAAAAACAAAACATAATCAAAACATAAACGAAAACAGAGCCCTTCCCCAGCGAACCGAACTAAACTCAACCAACAGTGACCGACTGACACAAAGAAAACCTCGAGCCCGAGAACCGCTACCGAAATTGCACGAACGCCTATACAACATGTGAACTCAACCCCCGAGACAATCCCGAATCGACCCATCTCTGACCGAGAGAGTCCTAACCAGACCCCACGCCAGCCCCACCACACTCGCTAACCCCACTAGCCAAGCTCGATAGGTCCCAATCCTCCGCCGCCTAACACCACTAGCCGACCAAAGAAAAAATGTGAGTGGCCCGGGCCCTCAACCCCAACTGCCGCACCAGACCGACACAGCAACCGGGACCCCGCCCCACTCATCGGCTCCCGCACCCCGACACCACCACAAATTGCCGAAGTCCAACGGCAAAATCCCACCCAAACACGTGAAATCCCCGCCGAAGAGCCATAGCCCAGCAGCCACAAAAGAGAACCAAAAGAAGGGAAAACCACCGCAAACCAGAGTACCGCCGACAATCGAAGAAATAGTCTCCAATCGTCAGCCGAACGACGGCCGTGCAAGTCGACACCTCCCACCGACACCCCATCAGCGACCACAGATCGGACCACTGCACCCCGAGCAATCCACGACCACATCGAAGAAGCGTTGCACCAGGCAGTCAAAGATGACCCATGGCCGAGCTAATCCGTCGCGGAGGAAGGAGAAATGATCAGATTTTTGGAAGAAGGGTTCGCAAATTTGGGGACGGGTTTTGCTTAGAGAGAGAAAATTTCGAGCTAAGTAAGAACTTAGTCTAGTCTATTTAGATTTGGATTATGTACATACCTATTAGACTTTTAAATTATAAAATACTTGACTAACTTAAGTTATAAATATATTTAAAATATATTAAGTTTTGTGTTTTTTTTTTTTTATGTATTTGTTATATATAACTAGTATGTTGCTCTTGTGATGCACAAGACAATAATAATAAACTGTATAAATTAAAATAAAAGAATATTGACTATTATATAAAAATAGTTCAGAATATTAATGTTAATTTTATATTTTGTTTTATTTTTAATATATATAATATTTAATATATGATTTAAAGTGAACACCGAAAGAAAGTGATTGATAAAATTACTGCACCGGGATGAGGAACGGGTGCTTTGAGTTACTTCCACTGTGAGGAGAGAAAAAAAATCTGCTTGTTCCATTTTTATTTTTTTTTTCAATTGAACTTTACGTGATTTTCCCATGTCCTGCTCAGGAGTCGGGATGCCTGCACTTCAATTTGCCTCAAATTGAGTTTCTTAAATAGATTTCAATAAATTAAAAGAAAAAAAGCTGGCAAGCCCGGTCCACCAAACCCGTGGCCCGAGGTAGGAGCGAGCTGGGCCTTCATTTGGTAGACCCGCCACAATGGCAAGCTACGGGCCAGCCCGCCCCACCCCCTGTTTTGACAACTCTATGTGATGTGAGTGTATTGTTAAGCTAACAGTAATAAATCTCTTGTGGACTTTGCACAAATAGAAAGGAATTAACCTAACCGCTTGGATTAGCAATGACAGAACATACAAGACTTGGGCATGCACCAATTAATCTAAAAGCAGCAAATATCCCCAGAGAAAATAGAATGATGTCCAATTAAAAAAAAAAATTATTCAACGTAGAGTTTTAATGCCAACGCAAATCAAATATTACATGATAATTCTTTTCCCAATGTACCAAATCTTTTTTCAAACAGCTTGTCTGCAAACCTAGGACAAGTACTACTTGTGGACAGAAGAAACTATAGGACATAAAAGCAAAAAATAACAAACAAATACAACTAGAGTCGGCACGCAATTGTAATTTGTACAGCCACTTATAACATCAAATGTATTTCAAAGAATGGACCGAAACACAATGTGAGACTTTCCCATTGCAAATAAGAGGTGGAAATACCAACTCATAGGGTCGACAAGAAAGTTCGCACTAAGATGAGCAGCAGCCACTCTTCTGGGCCACCGGTTGTCCACGAATCTGCACTGTAGGTGGCCTAGCAGTGTTTGATGCCGGCTGACTAGCCATCCTACATTTAAATAGGAGAAAAATGGCTCTCAAAATAAACAAAATAGATGGAAAAGAAAAGAAAAGATGAACCCTCGGTTAACGTATGTGATGACGAGGAAGAATTCGCTTATACTAGTGATTGTAGCACTAAAATTCATGACCAATAAGAATTTTAGGCTAAATTGCATTTTTAGTCCTACTGGTTTAACGCCATAGCAATTTTTGTCCCAAGATTCTAAAATTTCGACTTTTGGTCCTCTAATTTAATATTTTGCTGCAACAACTTTACAGATTTTTTATTAGCAATTTAAGTCTTGTAACTTAAAATTTAGTTGCAATTTCAGTCCTCAAACGACTGAAATTGTAGCAAAATATTAAATCACTAGACCAAAGGGCGAAAAGTTGATATCTTGGAGCTAAAATTGCTATGGCGTTAAATCAACAGGACTAAAAATGCATTTTTGCTAAAAATGCATTTTTGCAAGAATTTTATTTGGGAGAGAGGGAGGCAAACCTGTTCTTTATGTCGGCAGACATGGCCATGAAAGCCTGTTCTACGTTAGTGGCATTCTTGGCACTAGTCTCCATGAAAGGAATGCCGATTTCATCAGCGAAAGCCTTTACCAAAGTGGGGAAGAAAATAAGGATAAACTTGAATTTTGGATCAGCTTCTCAGAGACTAAACTAATAAGAGGGCAAACAGGGAAAAATGTCTACCTTAGCTGTCTCATAAGGGACAGCTCTGTTTTCGGCAAGGTCACACTTGTTTCCTACCAGAAGTTTGTTTACATTCTCACTGGCATACCGATCGATTTCGTTCAACCATTGCTTCACATTGTTGAAGCTCTCCATGTCAGTTACATCATATACTATCTGCCACACAATTCCAAGTTGTACAGCAGGTTTAGGATCACAAAAGCAAAAAGTGAACTAGAAGGGATAAAAATCAACATGAAAAAAAACTAACTATGATTCCATGTGCACCACGGTAGTAGCTACTGGTTATAGTCCTGAATCGTTCTTGTCCAGCAGTATCCCACTGCAAGCCAAATATAATTTTTTTTTTAAAAAAAAAAAGAAGAAAATGTGAATAAAGCTCATTCCTTAAACTTCGGAAATCAAAGCATGCACAAACTCAGCCAGAATTAAGTTGCACCCAATTGCCAAAAATATGTTCGGAAAGTATGATACAAATTAACTTATGGAACAAGGAAAAAAACAGACTGGATCGATAGCTAGTTTAATGGCAAAACACATTAAATGGTAAAGCTCACAGAAAAGATTGAAGTCCTCAAACAGATTGCTGCTGTCAACATTCCCAAGAATAAAATTGCAAATAGAATAACAAGATAGTAGGCACCAAAATAAGCTTTATTTGTTCCACACCACAGCTGTTCATATGATTCCAATTGATTTGGATGGAGAGATTAATAACACTAGAAACAAACCAATACGATCATCATATTCAGTTAATGTCTTCTTTTCTAAAATGTCATATCCAACGCCACAAATTTAGTTAGTGCGAAGACAATTTTTATTATTCTCCCTTTAAAAGCTCAATATGCATTAAAATAAGCCCCAACAATAACTAGCTAAAAGAGCTGATAAGGCCCCAAACATCATAATAACTAGAAAAGTAGATGATCCAAAAGGCTCTGTGCTGCACGTTGATATCAAAGGCCATTAAAAATGTTAAAAGTTTAACATTAAGTATGTATCAAGAATTGGTTGTTGGGGAATGGAAGATGAGAGGCACTTACAATTTGAAGTTTAATGGTTTTCCCATCTTGCTCCACAGTTCGAATTTTCTACAAAAACAAAGGCACAATAAGCATAATTATACTCCCGCATAACACCTACCACTCAAAGGCCGCAATACTTACGAAGTCAACACCGATTGTACTGATGTAACTGTCAAGGTACGAATCGTCCTGCACAAAGTATCACGAAGAAAGGTGAGCCGCGGCCCCAAAAGTCATCATCATTTAGTGACAGTGAATCAGTGATAAAATGGTACTTTTACAACAAATGTAAGCACTTCAGGGAAAAAACACGAGATACATGTCGGAATGCTACACTTCGCGATAATCTAATGAACCACTATATCAAATGGCATAGAAATTTGACAAATTACCAATTTCAGGCAGCTTAGAATCATAAGAAAATAAAATGAAGAATAATGGAAGCACCCCACATGATAACAGACAACAGAACAGAAAATAAGCAATAGGAGACTTACAGCAAATCTAAGAAGAAGACATGACTTTCCAACACCTGAGTCTCCAATTAAGAGAAGCTTAAACAAGTAGTCGCTGAAAACAAAGACATCAAATAATAAATGAGTGGCATTATAAAGTACAAGATGGATAAATATGCAATTAAATTCCGAAGCAGCTATAACTAAGATTTTGTAACAGTTGAGCCTCACTCTATAGACGTGAGAAAATGTTCAAGTGAAAAATCTCATATGGCAGTGACCACGTCCATTGAGTATATCTCTTTGATCTATCATACAACAAAGGTTACTTTGTAGCAGAAACCAAACACGGGTAGCACTTGTAAGATGCTAAGATAATCCAATTGATAAATATCACTTCAAAACCACAAGTAGCTTGATCTTACTACATTAAGCATGAAATAATCAACTAATTTCCTAACCCAATTCCAAACTCTTAGATTCCCAACTCACTGTACCTAATATTCTCCAAGCTATTTGCTTAAAATCCTAACAAGATCAGATTCTTAAACTTCAACATACATGCGTTGCTGATCTCTTTTTCTGTTCTCTGTGACACGAATTTTGTTCGAACACTAGGACTGAGGGTGTTAGGCTTTAAATGGCATGGCCATGTTAAATAAAAGAA